ATGAAATATTTATAAAAGTGGATATGTAACCTATTCTTTTAAAAAAAACTCACTGTGAAATTCCAAAAAGCAAAGGCTTTTCTTTGATTGGTTCATAATTCAAAAATTTGATTTGACAACCTGCCAACGTGCACATGATAACAGTACTTCACATTTGTATGTCACCAATGGCATTTCAGAGTTCTCGTAAGTGAGCAATGGGTTGTGATTAAACCTTACTATGACCCACATGTTTTTGCATAAGATGGGAATTATTAAAAACAGAGGTAGCATATTCATCTAGTTTCCATTCAAAATTTAGCAAGGGAAAGAAATCCTTAATGGGTCACATTATAACCTCTATTACTGTTCAGACCTTTCCCTTCAATGGGGAATTCCTGAATAGATGATGAACAATACAATATTCATTGGTGCAGACCTAGAAGCAGACAAAATTAATTGAGAAAAAAATCATCACTTAAACCTCCTGAGGATGTATCATCACCAACCGTAAGATAAATTATTTTCAAACTGAAATGACTTCTAGGAAAAAATGTTCTCAGTGAAAACTGGTCCTTTAATTGAGAAGACTAAAAATGTGCTCAAAACTTTTCTAGGTTATAAACAAAACAAAAGCCATAGGAATGGAAAGCAGTATAGTGGGTAATAGACACTGGCCTTGCAGGTTGAGTGGTTGCTGGGTTCAGGAAGCTCTGTCTGATGCCAAATACATCCTTCTTCTCTCTTATTATAGATGCCGGTGGCCCAGTTATAAATCTGATTGGCAAAACCGAACTTCAAGGCCATCTTGCAAGGAATCCTATTTCTGGGAGGCAGATACACAGATTGTAGAATTCTCAACTGTTATTCTTAGGACTCATATAGCTCTTTGTTTTCATCCTTTCATATTTGATAGTGTATAGGGGAAAATCCAGGTTGATTGAGGCCTGAAGTTTATGCTTGGAGCCATTTTAAGTAAAATAATTCTAAACCATGAATAAAGGGCCTTAGAAAGTACCCATGCAAATGACGGTCCCTGAAATCTAAGCTTCATTACTTCAAGATAAAATCCAGCTCTGGCAGCATATTGTTCTACTTAAATGTCTTTATTTATTACTTCCAAATGTTATAGCTTTATTTTTAAATGACATCACCCTAAAATTAATCTTCAGAAAAATAATTTACAGTATCTGCTACAGCGTTCTGCACACAGTGGGTGTTCAATTAATTTTGTTAACAGTGTCATAATGAAAGCATGAGATTTTTTTTAATTCCTAAAAAACAATGTTTATTTTAATCACAATGAAAAAAAAATTTTTGAACACTGTCATCAGCAATACAAAGAAGTCCTAAAGGCTACCCAGAGATAACCCCTGATGAAAACTAAATCAAGTCCAGTACTTGGCAGTCCCACTTTAGGAACTCAGCAAGGAAAAGACTTTGCATTCAGTCTGGCTAAGTTAGGCAAGGCTGTGGGAACAACAAACCTCCAAATTTCAATTTATTTCTTGTTCACATTTTTGTCCTCAGGGAATTGGTGGAGGCCTTCATTTCTGGAAGAAGCAGTCCTCATCTGGAAAATTGCTGACAGAGTAGCTGAGAGCAAAGAGAAATGGAAGAAACACAAGGCTGTTAAAGATTCTACTTGGGAGTGGCACACATCACTTCTTGGCCAAAGTCAGTCATATGACTGGCTCAGGTATTAGTGGGATGGGAGATATGGCCTCCTATGAGTGCCAAAACATTTCAAGCAATAATAAAGCTTACCCAGCACTTCTCTCTATAAAGAAAACTATAACCCTCACTATCACCACAAATACCTCATTTATCTTCCTTCCTATGACTAAAACTATTAAAAACCTATTGAAAACATGGAGTGCTAGCATGAGGCATTTTCCCCTGGAAAATGAAAAGACTATTATCAGTTTTCTTAGAGGGAAAAGCCCTGTTTAAATCCAGTCTTGCAATCCCCCTATAGTAAGAGATTACTATGTTGAGGGCACTGCATTGATCCCTGTAGAAAAAAAGTATGAGTAAACACATTAGAATTTCAAATAAATTATGCAGATACTCTGACCTAAAAAAGGCACGAATAACTAACACTCCCCCCTTTCCTTAAGTGTGGGTTTCTTATAGTGACTTCTTCCAAAGAGTACAATACAGAAAAGTGGAAGAAAAAGAGTAACTTTATAGTGGAGAAACCTGGCTAGCACTATTTCAGACACATCAACATCCACAGTGATAAGCCATGTTGCTAATATATAGCCTTATATGATACACTGAAAAATGACACTTTATCTCTGTGATCTTCCTCCCTAACCCATTCACCCTAGGTCTCATGATCATGAGAAAAACATTAGACAAATTCCAATAGAGGGACATCCTATAACAACCTTGATCAACACTTCTCACAACGTCAATGCCATCAAAAACAAGGCATATCTGAGAAACTGTCACAGCCAAGAGGAGCCTTTATTAGGCACAAATTAAGGAAATGTGAGTAATCTATAGAACTTTGTTAATAATGGATCAACATTATTTTACTAATTATAAGAAATGTACAATACTAACTTAACATATTAACAGAAAATATTGAGTATGTGGAGTTATATGGGAACTCTATCCTCTCAATTTATCTGTAAATCTAAAATTGTTCTAGAACAAGTCTACTTAAAATAAACATATAATGTGAATGAATTCTGTCCTCCCAGAATGCAATTGAGAGAGTAAAACCAGAAAAAAATTACAATACAGTTATCATAAATGCTGTAGTATAATATAGATTTGAACAAAGAACTGTGGGAGTCCCATCAGGACTTTTATGAGAAACTATAATCTTTTCTACCAAGCCATATCTTAAAGTATTTGAATCTATAGAAACACCCAACAAGTGCCTTGCTCAAAGTTGGTATTCAAATATCTAAGAGAATGACGACATAGATAGCTCCCTGTTGTAAAATGTGGTAGACATAATAGAGATAATTATAAAGTAAATTAAGAGAGATAAATGATGGTTAGCCATACACTCCTTTATTAATACAAACATCAGTGAAATGCCAGCAATTTGTCCTTTTGTTTCGTTCCAACTACACTTAGAAGAAAAGCTGTTTTCTGTTCAATTATTAGTAGGCAACCAGAGTTATCCTCAAAAACACAAATAAAAAGTCTGGGCATGTGACCGTTTCTGGAAGGTTAAGGGTAAAAGATCACTAGATGCTTATACTGTTTAAACCTAGTTCATTTTGGAATAAGGAGTATCTCTAATATATTTTAGTCATCGCAACTGATTTCACTGAGAGTCCTTTACTGAGATTCATCATGCTAATTAACAAAACTTAACAAAATTTAACTTTGTGTCGACACAGAGTTAGCATAACGAAGGCTGTAGCACCAACTTTAGCCTTGGGACCTTCATTTAAAGCTAGTTTATCACCCCAGTATTGTGTGTGTTTCTAATTAGAGGAAAGTGAGTTAAATCTAACCATCATGCATGTTCACGCTACCATGAACACTGAACTATTTCAGATTAAGTTACGACACAACACCGTTAATTTTCTCTAAGTTATTCTGGCTTTAAAATGGCATTGGCAGTTTGGTTTTACTTCTGGGGCATAATGTGAAAGCTGTTACTATGAGACCTTGGATAGATCACGTTACTTCTCTGCAGCCTGGTTCCTTTGAAAATGCTGGCACTGGGTCTCTTATTTTTTTCATCCCTGTAATCTGAGTCCGCTGTGTTTTCATTGACGGAGAGGAATAAGCAAACGATGCAGAGACACTAGCTTTAAATTGTTTGAGGGTCAAATTATACACTCCATAAAGAACAGCCTGTGTCAGAAACCAAGTGTTAGCATTAGATGAGTATGTTTTGGATGACATGTTTCTTACCTTCTAAAGGATTCTATAGGTGACACTAGTATGACTCTAGTATGGGGCGAATTATAGCAGAAACTACTTTTAAAAAAACGCCACAAAACCCACGAAGTGAAAACATTAGCCACGGAAGGGGTTCGCCTCGTCATTTCCCCGACCTACTAACTCTACCTCCCTTTTATCAGGGTTGGTGTCAGGGCGAGTGGTCCGCTCCCTGCAGTGGGAAAGCGCGACCCCTCCAATTCACGTTTCCAGTCACCGTCACCCTACACCCTCGCCTTGCCCAGCAGGTTCGTGTAAAAACGCCAACTGTAGCGTTTTCTTTTCAAATCCTCTCGAATGAATTCTTAAGCTCGAGCATTCGTGGGGACCCTCCAGGTACCGCCCCACAATGCCCCCTCCTCTCCCCGAGCCGCGGGGCCGAGGGCGGCAGGCTCAGCGCGGCGCGCACCTGCCCCGCGGCTCCCCGGGCCCCGCGGCCGCGCCAAGGCCAGGGGCGGCCGGGCAGCCTCCCGCACCGTCCCCGCTCAGGGCCCTGCGGCCGAGGGCGCAGCCGGGGGAGCGTGTCCCCCGCCGCCCGGCCGCCGCCTCGCGCCTGGCGTGGGCGTGTTCGCTCCAGAAATCCCCAGTGGTCCGAGGTGCCCGTCCCTCCCCGGGGGAGAACCGCGGGTCCCCCGGCGGCTCTCGGCGTCCGCCTGCCTCTGGCGCGCCTTCCCCGCGCCTCAGACGCGCGCTCAAGTGTCCCCGCACCTTCGCCCCGCGCCGCCCCCACGGCCCGCGCCCCCGGCCTGCGGGTCTCCGGCGCCCGGGCCCGCGCTCCCGCCGCGGGTCCGGCCTCCCGTCGCCCCCGGCCCCGCCCAGCCTCGGCCGCGCCGGGGCTCCCGGCCCGGCCTCTCCGTCGCCCTCCCCTCCCCCTCCGCCCCCTCCCCCTCCCCCTCCCCTCCCCATGACTTGCTATTTTTAGCAAATCCTCGGTTCGCCGCCACCCGCACAGCTCGCAGCTCGCAGCCGCCCGCCGCCGCCTCCCCAGCTCCCCCCGCGCGGCGGCCGCGGTGGCGGCGCGTCCCGCACCTCGCGCAGCGCGCACCCGGCTGCCCCCGCGCCCTCGCCGGCGTGTGCTTCTCCGGCGCCAGCCGCGGCCGGTAAGTCCCCGCTCCCGAGCAGCGGCGCTCCCCGAGTCAACTTTCAGTCCCCCCCTTTGCTTCTGCCTCGCCATTCTCTTCTCCTGGAAACATGGCTGTTTGGAGAAGGGGGAGAAGTTAGGGGGTCGCCGGCGCGGGGCGGAGGAGGGCGCGACAGGCTCAGCCCGAGCGGACGGAGGTGAGTGGCACCGCAGCCCGGTCCCTGGCTGGTGCTCGGGAAAGCCCTGGGAATTGGGGGGGCCAAGGGTCCTTCGGATGCGCCGTTCAATTCCCTGCCGGGATTCCCCAGGTTAACAGCATCCAAGTCCGGACCCCGACACCCCATTCCTTCCATCTCGTAAACCAGACGAGGGCGGGTTTACGGGAGCCTTTATCACAAGTTCGGTGCCAAGTGATCTTTGGGGCGCAGACCCTGACATCTGCTAGGCAAGCCGAAGCAGGGATGGTGGCATTACCTCCCCCCCTCCCCGCCACACACCCAGTTTATGTCGGAACTGAGTTATGAATGAAAAGTTTGTGCTGCCAACGTGTTGCTTGAGGGGAGCCGTACTTAGTGGGGGGGATCGTTGCTGTTTCGTGGGGTCAGTTCCAAGTCGATACATCGGAATACTGGGTTTTCTGAAAAGTTCCGGTGCTTGGGGGATGGGAGGTAAAGCAGTTCCTCGGCTAGTGCAAGGAGAGTGATGAATCGTAAGCTCTTTAAGGTAACCTGGCTGATAAAACGCCACCCGAGGGTTTCATGGAGGGGACTTGATGGGGGGAGAGGACCGGGGACGTTCCCTGGGCGCCCAGCGGGCAGCGTTTGTTTGGCTTTGAAAGCATCGCCCACTTGTCCACAGCGAGAGGTGCTGGTGTCAGAGGCCTGTGTGTCCGCGGTGTGATCGGGTGGACCCGGCTGCTCTCCAGATCCCAGGAGAGGTCGCCAGGAGAGGTGGCCTGCGGCGGGGCGCTGAGGATGCGGTTCATGTGATGTGGAGTGGGAAATTCTCTAGTGAGTCTCCTGTGCTCTAATTTCAGGACGATCTGTCACGTTTGTTTTTGCTGTCAGGGAGGTGTGTGCAATCTCCTAAAAGGAACTTTCAGATCAAGTCACTAAAACAAATTGAAATCTGCGAGAAATGGGACATCTATATGTATCCCATTCTACAGATGCATCAAATGTATGCATAGGTGCGTGTGTGATGAGGAAGTGGGGGTAAGAAGGGCTTAAAAAAGTTAACTTCTTCCGGAAAAGAAAGCAAAGAGTTAATTTTTTTCATTCCCAAATAGTATAACAATACTTTTAGGACTAAATACTCTTGGTGTGCTGAGATTTCTCATGAAGGGTAAGATTTAGGAATTAGAGGTATTTGGAATACAATCATATTTTCAAATCTTGCAGACATACTTGGAATCTGGGAAAACGGAGTAAGTATATAGAGAGTTATATATTAAACAAAAAATTTAAATTGTTTGGAAAGAAAACCTTTTGACATTTGGAAACGTCTGGATGTTAATTTCTGATGCTCTAGAAGTATTTTTAATTCTGTAATTAATAACAGCACAGAATACATTGCAGTTAGTAAATGAAGACAAATAAAATATCATGTTTGGAAAGAATATCTTTTGAACCACTCTTTGGTACTTTGGATATTTATTATGGAAATTATTGTGACTGAAAATATGTAGTTTAATATATTTGCTTTTTACCACAGATAATTAGTCCTCTTTTTCCTTTTAAACCACTGTTCTAGTTTGAACCAATTTAATTTTCCAAACACCAAATCAGTGACATGCCTTCTGGAAAACATTCCTGTTTAAAATGCTTCACAAGAATATTGTATTTCCAAAAGGACAGATAATTTAGGCAGTTGTAAAACTTTCTTTTAATTTATTTTCATCCATTTTGTTTGAATGAGGCATTTAAACATTCAAACAGAGAAGCATTTTCTTGAAATATGTCATTCTCTATGTAAGGGAAAAGCTAATGTTTTCATGCATTTCAGTCTCAGGCAGGTGCACGTAGAGACTCCTGTGTCTGACCTTTGATGTCAAGCTGCCAGCTAAAGACAGAGATGCTTTCCCAGCTCTCCTCTGAATTGATGATCTTCACTACAGATTGGACACGATCAGATGCAATAAGACTATGCAGAAGCAAGTTCAGAGTTTTAAATTATTAGTTAATGGTCAGGAGGAAGATTTTTTTTCCCCCATTCTCTGTTGTGTCTCTGCAATTCAGCCGATTGGGTAGTCTTTTAATGGGAAATCAGACCAAACACTCTTTGATTAAGAGTGTTGGCATATTAAATTGTCATCGTCTATAAAGATGACAATCCTTCTGAAATTGAAAAGATAATTTTATATATTATTATAGTTTTATGATTGTTTTATGACCATTGTAGTAGTAGACAGTTGTTTCATGAAGTTACTGCCACTATTTATAAATAATTACTTATTTTATACTTATATATTTGGGTGTAAGGGGTTTTAAATCATAAAACCAACTGGCCGGATAACTGCTTCTTCATTAATTAGTTTAGATAATACACACACTCAGGTTTTTATTAATATATGGAACTAAGGCGTTTTAGGGTTGTATAGTTTTCTTTTTATTAGAATGACTTCTATTTTGAAATTAAATAGTACAACATATTATACTGTAATTTACATTCACATAGTGAAGAAGGTGTAGGTTATTCTTAAATAGAGATCTGGAGAAAGAGCTAGCAAGGAGAGTCATTTGTGAAACATATGGACATCATAAAATCCTTCTGTATAGAGCATCTGCACCTTCTCATTAGTGAAATATTGTACTTATGGACATTTTTTGTTATTATTTCCAAATGCGACTTTTAATTTTTGCTTCAATGGATTTTTTGGTTTGTTTTAAAATGTGATTATAGTTAATGTTTAAGATGGTGGGGGCTTTTATTGCCTGAAGCCCTTACCTTACGATAAAACATCTTACTTAATTTTTATTGTACACATCTACAGACACTCACAATTCTTTTCTAGCTTGCTATTAGAACTCTTACATTTTTTAAAAATCCTTTACAAAATTTGAGGGACAAGTGGGACGACATATTGTTCTCTTTTCGGAGGGATATAGCCTTCAAAGCCTAGTATTAGTGTCACGCTGAGGTTAACAGCTTTATTTCCTGTAGCCTAATTACAACAGAAAGCTGCCCCTGTGGCTATGTTTTGACATTTTAATAAATTTATTTATTCCTAAATCTTTAAAATGGTTAACTTTGTAGATGTGTAGGTCAGATTTTATATCAGTCAATATAGTCATAAGGAAATGGGCTCTTACTGTGGTCTCGATAGCTCATTCTGCAGCAAATGTACATACCTTTGAGGGATATCCATTCTTGCAATCATTCAGTATCTCACATATCCCTCTGTCCCCACTGACCACACCTTAACCAAATGCCTTTTATTGGTACAAGCTGCTTTGAAATATGTCAGCACAGTTGTCATGTTTGAGGATCATCAGTCTTACTGATGAGAACTCAGAAGGTAATTTTTGAGAAGAGAAAGTATTGACAGAGACATTAATGGACCATCCGTTATAGAGCCAACCAATATTGATTAGGGGTGATGTTTTTTCTGGGTGTCAAAGCACTCACCTTTTCTTATTAGCTCTGTTTCTTTGGCCTAATTTATAGAAGTCAAAGTGAACAGGTTTATGTAACTATGATAGTCATTTCTGTTCTGTAGACCTCACATCTAAATAAATAAGGCTTAAAAAAGAAAAAGTATAGTAAATTGTTCTTCTCTAAAGAAGGTATCCCTCTGACATTTTCTTCATATTTCCAAATCCCTCTTCTCTTCAAATCTTACCAGAATTTTTCAGGGTAATTGCCCACATGATTTGTAATAGTCAATATTATAGGCTTCTGATCCTGTATTGTTAGATTCAAAAGTGGAAAATATTATCCAGGATGTAGAAGAAAGCTTTGTAATTTCGTAGAAGATAGTAATATGTAATCTTATACAAAGTTACATGTATTTGATGAAAATACTTTCAGTACTTTTGAATAAGTAGTTTGTATGAGGAGCTCTGTTATATATTTATATATGTATATATACACACACATATATTTACTGTCCTTTTCCCTAAATATATGGTATATAGAAGTTCATCAAAATCATTTTAGATGTGAAATACTGAAAAAAAAAGTCATTATTCAAGTGTGGCTTGATATTTACTAGAACAGAGTTTCTTTAGAGCCTCAAAAGAAACTCCCATTCCTCATATTCTTTGTTGCAGCAGAAAGAGCTTAGCATGCTGCTGGTGAGACTGAGAGGGTTGAGGATTTGGGAAATGGTACTTTCTTCCCATTTTTGTAGAATCTATGATAAAAAAGAGATGGATGTGCACTAGTCTAGTTTGAATGGAATAGTGATGAGAATGGCCGTAGAGGAAAGGATAAGATTTGGGTCACTGAGTTATCACTCAAAATATTTGGTAGCAAGTTGTGGAAACTAACCTTGGTTAATTTATAACGTGAAACAAATTTATTAGGGGATCTTGATCCCATGTTTTCTATTGCTTTGAAACACATTACCACAAATTTAGTAATTTGAAACAGCACACATTCTGTTAGCTTCATTGCTCAGGAGTCCACGTAAGACTCAGTGGAGTCTCTTGATTAGGGATCACGCTTGGTGTTGGTGAGGGTTGCAGTCTTATCAGAGACTTGGCAGGGAAAATATCTGCTTCCCAGTTTCCCTAGATTTTTTGGCTGACTTCATCTCCTTGTAGTTCTGGGATTGAGGTCTCCATTTTCTTGTTGGCTGTCAATCAGAGGCCACTCACCCCTCTTATGGGGAGACTGCTGTTCTTTGCCATGTGACCTCCAATGGGCAGACAACTTTTGCAAAGCCTGCAAGAAAGACTCTCTTGCTCCAGTATAATACAGTCTTAGATAACAAATGGGAATGTGTTTTGCAGCCATTCTAGTCCTGGTAGGTTTACCATCAGTTCTCTAGATTTGAAAGGGGATTTTGGAGTCCTTGGAATCATTTTCACAGACTTTACTATTAAGCAGGAGAAACAAGCTAGCAGGGAGACGGTAACTTGAGCCCCCTGCAAATCTCTATATATTCTTTTCTCTGGTCTTTCTCTGGTGTTCTCTCATGGCCTCTTCCTCTCATAGCCATAGCTGTCTCTGAGTAACACTGCCCCATTATCCC